AATTCCTCCAGGAGGTCCCCATCTGTCTCTCTTTTTCGGATAACATCGCATCGATTTATGTTCTTCTTTACCCATCTACACGTGTCGCAGATGCAAAAAAGGAGACCATCTGACGTATTGTCGAATCAAGAATTCTTTGATAAAAATAAAGAAAAGGATTTATTTTGAATTAAATTATCTTCTGATTTACCACAAAGATCTACAGATGTTTTTTAACGTTTCGGCAATCATCCGTGGACAATTACACTTCCTGCTTGTCGTCTATAAAATTTGATCGATGGGCAAAACTCTTAAAAATTTCATTTATTGAATTGAAAATAAGGTAAAGTCGATAAAGATATTTAAAAAAAAAAATACATTTTCCATTATGAAAGAAACCGAACTTTCTATAATTAGCAATCTAATTTACAATGCAAAAGCTCTTCCATTACCGTTATGATTTTAGATATAAAAATTTGCAAGGTTCAGAGATCAAGATCATTAATATGGTCAAGCTTCTAAGATTTTTATTAACTTCTATCAATGTATTGTCTTCACGAGGAAGTCGTGATCTTTAATTTAATTTTTATAGTTACGGTTCCTTTTTTTTAATATTAAAAAAAACAGCGCATAACTCTTATAATGAAAGGCTACGGAGAGGTATAAAAATTGTTGTACTAAATATCTGTTCTTTTTATTTATTTTTTAATCGTTGCACCAAGTTGGCTTCGTGTTTGACTGCACAATTGTGTCAAACATGTCATCGCGTATGGAACAATATCAGACAATTGGACTTTCTTATATTGTTGCATTACGATAAACTTACAAAGCTTTGTCTCGTTGAATAAACTAGACTTGTATTTATATTAAAAAAAAAAAAAATTATCTCCTCTGCAATGACGATTTACTGAGGATTATCATTTAAAACAGATAAAATAAAATGATTCACTTATAACTGAGTCATCATCTCGATTCGATAAATATGATAATTACGACAATTGGAAAATACCTAATTCGATTTGATCCAAATTTAACGATGCCAAATGATTCTTTTGTTCAAAAATATAGCGGAAACATAAACATAACGGTGATTATTAATGAGGAAAGAATGTCGTCGTCATTTCTAAAATTGCCAAATTTGCATAAGTAATGTTAGTTACAACATTTAAAGTAACTTAAACGATGAGAATTACAAATACAAAACATTACTTACGCATACACACAATAAGGATGTTTGTTCTTACGATTGTATGACTTATACAATTCATTTTTTTCTACTGTACAGTCGATCCCCCTATAACACTGTTGATTATTCCGTTTTATATGAATTCCATGTTGTACGAATCACTTAGATTTTACAAATACGTGAGCCGTTCACAGCTCGGTACAGTGTAAAATCTAAGTGACTCGTACAACATGGAATTCGTATAAAACGGAATTATCAACAGTGTTATAGGGGGGTCGACTGTATTCTTCAAAAAATCTGTATCTTATAAAATTTTATGACTTTATACCGTTATGTACTAGTCTACTATAATTCATACTCTAACAACCTCTTATCGCAAAATGAACTCGTGCTTAATCTAATCATTAATTGTTAGACAATAGCCAAATTAATTCATATTTTGTGTAAATTTTTCGAAATTTAACATATGATAGGAATTGCCAACCATATTATGCATCTATTGAGGTAGATGACTCTTTGATACATGACACATTTGGATATGATATGATTACTCTAAACTTATCATTATCATATTGGGATACCCTGATTAGTAATGCATTTTTTAATGTTTTGTATAGAAGCGAAACTAATCGTATAGATTATATGCAAATTTTCTTTTGTTTAGAGTATATTTGAACAATTTTTCGTCTTGTTTGCCATACTTTTCATTAATAAACTTATCTGATTGTTGTTACTAGTGTTACCTGTTTAATTCATGGTTTCGTTAAACAGGAAGTGATGTCATACAACTCAATGGTGAGAGCTCGTATGAGAAAACGTTTCTTCATATGTTGATTAATTTTGTAGTAAAGAATTGTTTGATCCGCTTTTATAATAACCTCTCTTCTATAGAGCAACGTTCTTCATCCATTACCATAAGTAAACCATAGAAAGACGATAAGATCTAACAATTTCATTATAATCAGCGAAGCGCCAGCTTCAATAGAAAGTAGTTCACAAATTATTCATGTTAAAATGTCAAGTACAATTTATATTTTTAATCAAATTAATTACTGAAATTGCTCGAAGTCATTTGATTAATATGACATGATACTTATATACGTATGACTTTGGTTCATATCTAACGTGACTATTTAGTTATTTACTTAACTTAATAAAAATAATTTAAGTTTTTAACAATATAATAATGTAGAAAAATTATTAACGAACTTAACATAAGATAAATAATATAATTGAAGAGAGTTTCTCATTTTTTACAGTTTATTTTTAACTTATAATTACGACTCTACTGGATGCTTTACAATAGAAACTTTACGTGCTTAAGTACTGGATTTTTCTAACATCACGTCATAGTGAAAGACTGTATTTAAATGTTAAATTACTAACCATATTCTATGCTATATTATGACAAAATTACGTGTTAAAACAGTAAATTTTTATTTACACTTCAAAAACACTAAAAATCTGCGTTTAAATATACAATTAAAACACTTAATCTGTGTTTAAATTTATATATAATACTAGAAAACTGTGTGAGTTTGAATAGTAAATCTTTCAACACATAGAACATTTGCATATTTAAATACTTAAAAGAAATGATACAAATTACTTGTTCGAACACTTATTTCTTTTTCTTAAACACTTGCCACACATTGGACTAGAGTATTTACGTGTTAAAACACCATAAAAGTATTAGTCTTTTATACTTTTAACATTAAACTGAAACACAGATTAAATGTTTATTATATATTTAAATTTATATGTAAGATTAGAAGATCGCATATTTAAATAATGAATCTTTAACATAGAAAATTTGCATATTTGAGCACTAAATTTAAAAAAAAAACACTCGTCCTAATAGTTATATTTTTTATACACAAACTACACACTTAACTAGAAAATTTATGTGTTCAAACACTATAAAAACACTTGTATTTTATAGTTTTAACGTTAAAAAACACGGAAAAGAGAAAGTCATTGTGCATTTATTACAGAAACAAATCATAATTTTTAATATTTGNATTAACACAATTATTATTAATATATTTTTTTAAAAATTCAATTATTTTATTTTCTAATTTTTCAAGAAAAGTTTGTAAACTTAAACGCATAAAAAGACTAAAAATAATATCACAGATGTTGTAACTTTATCAATTTTTATCTTATTCATACAACGATAACACAATATAAAATTACACAGGAGGATTTTGTAAAGATTCAAAAAATATATAAAATATTTTAAAATATAAATATATAAGAAGAAAATAATAATAATAAAATTAATTTTCGCACTATCAGATAACAATCCTTCAATGTCACAACTTGTAACAATTCCAATTTTAGCGGTTTAGTAACAAAAAAAAAAAAAAAAGGGAGAGAGAGAGACAATTAACTTTTACAGACCAACAATCGATAATTTGTGAAGGTCGTCTCAGTAATATTCTGCGAAACGGTTCCGTACTTATATATATTTTAACGTAGATCGATTTAAAATGACGTTAGAAACTATAGAAAAACACTGTTAAACACTAAATGCCAACGATTAAGAGGGTCATTGAATAATTTGGACCTTTGCCACTTGAATTATTATTATTTTTTATAAGGTTTCAATAATCCGGATTTTGTAAAGATCATATCTTACGTTTATCTATTCAAATTTCTACTACAAGAAAATATTCTATCGGGAGGCGATTTAAAGTATATTAGCCTTCCAGGTAAAATTACCCTCTACCTACTTCACATTAGAGGTACCATAGGGATTGTCAATTATTACGTCACGCAGAGTAGCTTCTTTACTAAACAAGGCGCTGTATTTAAGAGTCATCATAACTTTTAACTTCGTTATGAAACACGCAAACGTCTCGATAACGTTTACGTTAATTTGTAATTGTGTAAAGGACATACACGTAATAATTCTAGAGGTACAATTACAATTAAAAGTCAAATAACAGATGTTACAGTTACATCTCTCTTAATTCTTATAGCATTGTAGTTATATGATTTAGAAGAATTTTTTAAATTAAATTACGTATATTTTATCCATTTTTTTTTTCTTACTTCAAACTCGATCTATCGATTTTTTCTTTAATCGAATATCCATATTTATGCAAAATGTATGGATTTTTTTTTATGTACAGTACATGCTGATATTCAAATTATATAATATTAGAAGGGACGATCAACCGAATAAATCATTAAGAAAAATATTCTACGTAGCGGTAATTTTTGTTAACGATCAAACAACCGTAAAGATATTTGGAAGTATCCCTACAAAAGAAAGAAAAAAAAAAAAAAACTTGTTTGGGATAAACAAAACTTTCATCGTTTTCCACGGTAAACATTTTATTAAGGTAATTTAACTAAATTATTAACTAAAATATATTATTTACGACTCAACAGAACTTTTATAGACCTATTTAGATTGTTTTCTATGAGGTTTTCCAGCCTAAATTGTCAAGAAATAATATATATTTCTCTCTCTCTTTTTTAAATGTTACTACTATTAAAAAAAAATTTAAAAAATCCTCCAAAATTAATTCGAATTGAAGAAATATTTCTTGAAGATCAAAATAGAAGATTTAAAACTTAAAAATGTGCTTTTTTTGGAGGGAATCTTAACTTAATTAAAGTGTAATTTAAGGGTATAAGTATAGAACCCGTTTCTCTATTCATCACAGTAAAAAATAAATTGACTTTTCTATTCGAGGAAAGTTTTGTAAACATAAATATATCATTTTTTTAAGGTGTATAATTGAGTTTTACGGGACTTGAAACAGTTAAATATCATTACTATGGTAAAATATAACATTTTAACTATATAAAGTTAAGAATTTACCTCTAATTTATGGGAGTATTCTTCGGAAAGTCTCTCGTTGGCCCGACTGAGATCGTCATTTCTTTCTAAAAGCGCTTTACCAAGTTCAGCAGCGAGTATGAGATCGTTTTCTTTTTGGGCCAATTGAACGTAAACGTCTTCGCTATCGGCAGAAGAACCGTTAAAACCACTTCTCTCTTCCATCTCCGTTAAATATTCTTCAAGATCACTGTAAAGATTCGTTCTGTTTGTAGAAGTTGGCTGCATCTCCAGGCGACAAGCGCACATTTTAACATATCAGCGGCAATGGGGGGTTGAAAAGTTCCGTTTTAGGTCTTAAAGTTTCTATTTTACGTTAAGTGAGTAATCCCTAAACATAATTATCCGTCAAATATGATAACTTATCGTAATAGAAACTGCATAAGGCACGGAAGTTGCGAGTAAAACGTGAAAGAGTCGCAGCACCGTAACACACGTCAGTCCGCCGCTTCCATCACTGCGTTGACTATTGTAAACACCAACACACGATAGCTCCAACGAGCGCCGAAAGGGATTACAGGTAAAACTCTCGATTACCTTTCCACAATACTAAAACTTTTCGGCAAGTAAATTATAAATTTTTTTAATATTATTGTATGAAATAAAATTTTTAAATACTTTTACATAATTTTTGATGTTTTTTAAATTAAATTTCTAGTTTTATAATTTTTTTAAAATTGTCTTCGAATACGGAATTTCCAGGCGGAGCTCTTCGGTGATGAACCAATGAGACGAGAACGAGTGTGACGTAAGCGAAGATTAAGGCGCAGCGCCATCGTCTCCGTGTTAACATGTGGTCACGTGTAAGCGCTATTTTCGAATTGGTTTGTAATTTTTTTTTTCCCCTTCTTTATTACAGGTAAATGATTCGACAGTTATTTGTATTTGTGTGTTAAGGTTATAAATAATTATGAAATTTGAAAGTAATTTTCTAATTTAATGTAAATTTTTGGTAGAAATAGTTGGTCTTAATTGATAATTTCGAAATGTAATCAATTTCAAAATTTTGAAAAGATTTGGTGGATTCTTATTGGATAATTTGAATTTAAAGTTATGGAATCTTGATTTAAATTAACATTTAATGGATTTTTACATAAATTGGTGAATGAAATTTATTCCGGTTGTGATATTTACTGAATTATGTAATAATGTANTCCTGTATTTTTTATATATTTTTTTTTAAATAAAATTTATACAATTATGTTTAAACTAAACATTTCAAAGATGAAGAATGTAAAAAATCACTTTACATTATATACATATTAAAATTCTTAAAATTTGTCTTTGTAACATAAATTATTATTCATAATAAATTACCAATAATAATTTCTTAAAAGCAGAATTACATCTTATCTTGAAATACTTTGTAATAAGATATGCAACTTTTTCAATAAAATATTTATTGCATATTAATATTATGTAATAAATATTGAACACAATGTTGATTTTTCTTTCCTATAAATATTTATAAGGATGTGCATACTGAACATACAAACATATGCATGCATATATGATACAAACAGAGATATATGTGTTAAGTATTTATAAACCTGCTTATCACTGGATGAATTTACAAATGATTATAATACGGCTGATTATTATAATAATTTTGTAAATTCAAATCAATATTTGTTTACAACCAAACAGCTATTTAAAGTGATTTTTAAAAAAATTTTGTAAATTGTCCCTTACTGGATATTAAAGATTAATCTATAATCAATATTTCTGCAAATTATAAATATTTGAAATTAAATACTTAAGTTAAAAGATAGGTATAACAGATTGTATGATCTCTGATTGCCACTGCTATATTATTGATGCAAAATATTTATTAAATAATTATTTTGAAAACTTTTGCACTAAATATGAAAATTATCTTTGCATTCAAATTATGCTAATGTAGCCACACTGCAAAATAATGTAGGAAGAATTAGAAAAAAGCAATTGACATCATCAGATTGACCTAATAAGTAATTAACTGTGTGTGTCGGAGAATGACAATCCAAATAAGAATGCTACTAAAGCAGACGTCATTATTTGTTTCATTAAGAATAATATGACATTCTAATTAAATTGCAATAATATAATTAATACATAGAAGTATTTTTTTAATCGTAGTTTATTTTTCTTATAATTCAGATTTAAAACACGTTAATCTAAACATTGGTATGTTTACAGATACATCAATGATAAATTTTAAAATTTTGGATATTAGATTTAAATAAATCTAAATTTAGTTAGGATATAAATTGAAGCAAATGTATTTCTAGGACTTTAAAACTTGACCTCAATTAATTTTGGAACAAAAAGTTAAACTTCATCATGATGAAGATATTTTATTATTGTATGTTGTAAAAATATTTAAATGAATTTCAAGGTTATGTAATTTTAATTTCAAGTTATTAAAGTATAAAATCTGCAAATAAGTTTAAATGTGAGATCAGATTTCTTTTTGTCTTTTTAAAAATCTTCATATTATATTTTTCACATATTGAATTTGGGTATTCTATACAAAGTTAATATTCTTTATTCTTCACTTGTGTCGTTTCTTAATTTGGTATAGAAAAAAGTTTGGTATTATAGTAAAATAAAACAGTTTTGAATTGTTAGTTTGCTATAATGACTAAGACAAAACCTTTCTCACTTTGTTTCTAGCCATTTAAACACTGAGTACAAACATTTTCAGCCTCCTTAATAGGCCTTCTTCAGATACACTGTGGTCTGGTAGAAGGTCAGTTGGTAGATATTCAAACGGTGTCACTGTTTATATAGGTTTCGTCTTACCAGTGAAGTCGTCATTGATAAGGTTTAAAACAATGGCTAGAAACAAAGTGAGAAAGGTTTTTGTCTTAGTCATTTTAAGTAGTTCTAGCTCCAAATGCATAGTAGTTTACAATAGAAACCCGTGTTAAAAAACAGATCGTCCAAGTTTTGTAAAGATTATTACTTGACTTGGATGATATCAATGCAAATATCATGAAAAGATATATTCTTAAGAAATGGACATGAAGCAAAATGTATATATTTAACAGTGATTAACAAGTATTGTTTGCTTTATTAATAGACAAGAAATATATGGAGGATTGATAGGTATATAAACAACAATATAATTCATATTTAAGTACCACAATAAGAATGTATTAAGTCGTCATTAATTTTTATAGCCATGCAACCTCCAATTATATAATGGTTTTCTGCTCTTTGTTGCTCTATCCAGTTTAAAAAAAGGAATCATATCAGGAAAAGAGGGGAGAGAATTGAGACTACTGATCACAAAAAGAATTGACAAAGGAAATATTTATAGATGTAAATTCTAAGAGGATTTTATTCTTGCATAAGAGTGATGAATCTGATGAAAAGAGTGATTCTTAAGACTTTGTTAGAATGGATGTTATCTGTTGAAACAGGGACAGTTTTTCCTTGCTGGAGAATAATGGTACATTATTAAAAGATAAATTTAAACAAACTCAAGGAAGAGGATAGTGGAATTTGAACAAATCTTTCAATATTAAGTATTTGTTATCAAACCAATCTTCATTAAAGTCCACTTTTTTTTTTTTTAGCAGTTTAGGGAAGAAACCATTTTGAATTGTAACAAGTAAAACAGTGAAGCCATTTTTGGGACGAGACTGTCTCGGAGAGCACGAGCAATGCATGCACAAATCTTGTACTCGCATCTGTTTGTAGAAACAGTCTCAACATTTCATATTTTCTTTTGACCTGGTTCTTGGTCCCCTGACTACCTAAAAGTCTGGTTTATTTTATGTATGCATGATTTGGGAACCAAGTACTCTTTGCCAAATTGCAACTCCTTCATGTTTCTAATGTGTGCAGCCGTTGACAGCAGCACAATTTTAGAGATGAGTCATAGTCTCATCAAAAATTGTGAAAGTTTGTATATTTATATGTATTGTGTAATAAATTTATATAACTGACTGGATTAACTTTTAAATGTGTTTTTGAACCTGTAGCTTTCAGAGAAATCCAGAGTTTATCTACTACTAATATGATAAACTTACTTTGAGGAAAGATACTATTATAATTGATACATAATTAGATATGATTATTAAACTTTATAAAAAATGTTAGACATAAAAAAGAAAATCTCAGAAATGGAGAAAGGAATTTCATGAGAAAAAAATTAAGTCAAGGAAATATATGAATGAGGTGACCAAAATGTTAAGAATGAATCTCTTCAGTGAAATTATCTGTTTTATTCCTTTTTTTATTTGAAATGGTTAAAATTAATTTTTTGTATACAATAGAATTTTGATTATCTGAGGTGGACCAATGCTATTTTGGATAACAAAACTCAAAACAGTTGTTTCAGATTAAAGATTATGAATATAAGATTTACATGATATATACTTTTAAGCGTCTTCTTATACCTTAGTGAATGTAATTATATATAAGGACAATAATTTTTACATCATTTATTATTCAGCTAATATACAGTACATATAACAGTTTTAAGAATAAAAGTGTGTATTATTTTAGTTTCATCTTAATATGAATGATTTGTCTCATATTAAATGTTTTTCCTTTCTAAATTGATTGGGAACAGCTTGAGATAAACACGGTTTTGATTGATTCAGAGTATTGACATTCCATATATTGTAGCAAAAATACAAAATGAGAGTATCAAGTTATTGGATCACAGAAAAGTATTTGATGTAGTTTCTGTGCAATTAAATCTGAATGTTTTTCTGAACTCGGAACCTTTCTGAAAAGTTGAAGTTTTTGAGTTCAGAAAGTTATGATAATTTGAATAGTATTTTTTGTTCCAATTTAATTTAATTTCCAGTTTTTCTCATATTCAATGTTAAGTTTTAGATTAAACTATTTTCAGAAAAACAGTGTAAATAATAGAAACAAACATGAAATGCATCATATAATGGTAAATAATATAAGGATATGGTAAAGGTATATTTACATATATTGTATACACTTAAGGCGGCCATACACGTTAAGTTAATCCTCAAAGGATTAACCATGCATTGAGTAATTCCTGATAATGTGTGGGGGAAAATTTAACAGTTTTGGCGAACTATACCGACCACCGGAGTAGAATCGAAAAACCATTTGATTTTCCTGCACAGTGTCAGACTGTGCAGGTCGATCTTAACGTCTGTGCCGTCATGTCGTTCAGTTGTGAGACCGCTGAGTAGTTAGAACAATGTCTCGTGAATGTTTGGAAGAATTACTTTATTAACTTTTATTATTTATAACCTAAAAATTAATTTTTCAGGTTATAAATTATTTTCAGATAAAAAATTTCTTGAGTAAATTAAAATTATAAGTAATTTTAATATTTAGAAAACTTCTCAATTCATTTCTTCCGTTTTCATAAAACATCTTGATACTCTATATCATTTTTTTTTACATTTAAAAAAATTTATTGTTTTAATATCAAAGTAAATTAAAACATGACAACTTAAAATAAGACAAAGTTTAATAAATTCTTTTTAATTATTAAATTATAAAATTAATT